AATTCTTACAAGTTTGTTGGAGATCATTGATGGACTGTAATCTTCAAGTTTCACCATAAATTTTCTATTGGATTCAGGTCAGGACATTGGCTGGACCACTCCAGGACATTCACATTCTTCTTTTGAAACCACTCCAGTGCAGCTTTGCCCTTGTGCTTCAGTTCCTTGTTCTGCTGAAATGTGAATTTTTGACCCAGTTTTAGATTCTTGGTTTACTCAAGCAGGTTTTCCTCTTGGATTTGCCTGTACTTTGCACCATCCATCTTCCCCTCAATTCTGACAAGCTTCCTAGCCCCTGCTGGTGAAAAGCATCCCCATAACATGATGCTACCACCACCATGTGTGACAGTTGTGATGGTGTTAACTGGGTGATATGCTGTGTTGGGTTTGCACTAGATGTAACACTTTGAATTTAGATCAAAAAGATCAATTTTGGTTTTGTCTGACCACAAAATCTTCTGCCACATGTCTGCAATATCATTTACATGCTTTTTCACAAACTCCATATGAGAGTTAAGATGATTCTTTTTCAGGAATGGCTTCTTTCTTGCCACTTGCCCATACAAGCCAGATTTGTGTAAGGACTGGGATATTGTCAATGTATGAACACTGACTCCCATTCAGACATTTAACTTTGCAAATCTTTTAAAGTCACTATTGGCTTCACAGTGACATCCTTAACCAGTTTCCTGCTTGTCCAGCTGCTTAGTTTGGAAGGGAAGTCTGATCTGGGTAGTGAATGGGTGGTATGAAGCACATTCAACTTCTTAATGATGGACTTCACCATACTCAAAAAGATGTTTGTTTGTTTGTTTTGAATTTCGTGCAAAGCTACACGAGGGCTATCTGCACTAGCAGTGTAAGACTAGAGGGAAGGCAGCTAGTCATCACCATCTACCGCCAACTCTTTTACCAATGAAGAGTGGGATTGATTGTCACATTATAACGCCCCCATGGCTGAAAGGGCGGACACGTTTAGTGTGACGGGGATTCGAACCCGCAACCTCAGATTGCGAGTCGAGTGCCCTAACAACCTGGCCATGCTGGGTCCTCAAAAAGATAATTAGCAACTTTGAAAATTTTTGTAACCTTCTACTTATCTATGCTTCTCTACTACTTTATCCCTGACTTGTTTGGAAAGCTCCTTGGTCTTCATGGTTGGTGTGTCGTATCACTATGTGATTGTGGCTTGAACAGATGCATTTACTCTAAAGTCGAGTTAAACCACTTTGAATACACACAGATAGAGACCATTACACTAATTTTGTGACCTTTCAAACTAATCTTTTGCACCTGAAATGATTTAGGGGTGCTGTAGCAAAAGGAGTGAATACTTATGCAATTGAAAATATTATAATTTTCTTTGAAAATATAACTTATTTACCTAATATCTGCATTTTTTAGCCTTCTCAGTTTGGAGTAGATTGTGTAGATTCTAAATATAAAGTCCCATTTGAAAGTTTCATGATTACAAGCTCAGAGGGCAACAAAATGTGGAAACTTTGTAAGAGGTGAATACTTTTGCAAGGCACTGTACGTGAACTAGAACTGCAGTCTTGGAAGAATCAGCAACAGGGACCATAAGCTTACAATGGAGAGCTGGCAGCTACTACAGGATGTGAGCTAACTCACAAAGGGCCAAGACAGACCTCTGGAAAATTTAGGCTGAATGGTAGAGATCCATGAAAAACCAATACAACTTTCTCTCATCCCTGTACAAGTTGAACATTTTTATGTTCTAAATATAAAAAAATAAATGTGAAACCTAATCTATCATTCAATTTACCACTTGTCACTGAGTTATATCAATCTTGAGGGATTCCACCCCTCATCAGTAACCCTGATCACAGCATCATTGAACCTCATAGCTAATACCAGGGTTTGGGCAATAGTTGAAGAGGCTGAATTGGCAGTTAGTATAGTTGCAGAAGGAAAATCTTTCTTTGTCTCCATTGATGCTGTAGTCCTTTCTTAGTATTCTAAACAGTTTACCTGGCTGAATAATTCACAAGAGTAGATAAGTAGCATCAATGCTGCATTTCTTGATATTCCTATATAAATATAGGATTACTCTGAGTAAAAGACCTTTCAAAACACAATATATAATTCTATTTTCCATTTATTGTTTTTATCTATTTTATGCACCTCTGTAATTTTCGTTCGTTTGTTTAAGGTTATATCAAAGATATATTTTAGTTCTATATTACAAATTTCTTTTAATTTGTAAATTCATTGAGTTTGACCTATGTTTAATTTTAGCTTATTTTGTTTTAAACTGACCATGGTTACATTAGTTACACTCTCAAGCTTCATTGTGCAATATTGTATTTAATTTTATCCTTTCTTTGTTTATGACATTATTTCATTGTATTCCTTGTTTCATTTTATTCTGAGTTTGAACAAATTACAACCTTTTCATGCTTAGTTATTTAGTATCCCATCACATTTTGTATTTATTCAATTTTATATTATGTTCAGTTCAGTGAAATTCATAGTTCTGTTTAGGTATATTTTATCTATGTATCCAGTTTTATTTTGTTTAATTTATTTGGCTGGTGGATAATATATGCTTTATAACAGTGGTTCCCAAACCCAAACTCTTTTAGTCTGAGGCTCCCTTGATGTGAATAAAAATGTTTGAGGCCCTCCAACCAATACAAATGCCTTAAAATGTGATTTTTAAAATGCCCCCCCCCCCACTACTTTAGCATGGTGATTGAGAAACAGTGCCGTAGTAAAAACAAAAATATCTCCTTTCGACATACTGTAATCATTTAATTAATTCAACATAATTTTATTGGCTGATTATTTATTTAGAATTATGGTGAAATGTTATAACCATAGATTTTATATTCTGTATATATGACAATAAGCAGTGATGCATTAAGGCACTGGTAGAACCTGGGGAAAGTATAAGCTAGTGGTCTCCCCTTACTTACCTTTACTTTTAAGAAAATACCATACGGTTCGATAAAATGAATTTATTAGTGATAAAAAACTGAAGAAATAAAAAAGAAAATATATATATATTTCTGAAATAAAATGCTCCCAGAGGCACAGCAGTATGTCTGCAGACTTACAATGCTTAAAACTTGTTTCAATACCCATGGTGGGTAGAGCACAGAAAGCCCATTATATAACTTTTTGCTTAATTCCAGGCAAACAAATTTAAACAAAACTGGTTTATTATTATCATTTTATTATACACTTCATATTTTATTATTTACTAGAGAAAGTACCTGCCTTTGCTCGGGTTATAAGTTTGATAATGTGTTTATTCTGAACCCATTTTGCATAAAAGTATAACCTATATACTTTTGTTGCTAAGCAACATCATATAAAAGCCATTTTTTTTTATGCATTGTTACCAAAACACACTGGCCTTTCTCTATATTAGAAGTTGTTATATAAGGAACCCCTTTTTTTCTTTGTGGTTTTTTGCTAGCTTCCCTCATTAAAATGATGCTCATGTGCATGCTCACATGCATGTGGATAAGATAAGTAATACCCATGTGCACACCTTCAGGGTCTACTTAATATAGGTGCAGAATTTCAGGTTTTAGGTTCTTTCCTTATGGAGCTATGGTGGTCACACACATACAGACACATAGATATTTACTGAATGGATCATAAAATATTAGTATACATCGTTATTCAATATTAACTATTGTGAAGTGTTCCTACAGTGCTTCTATACATAGTTATCCAAATTTAACTATTGTGAAGTGTTCCTACAGGGCTTCTATACATAGTTATTCAACATTAACTATTGTGAAGTGTTCCTACAGTGCTTCTATACATAGTTATCCAAATTTAACTATTGTGAAGTGTTCCTACAGGGCTTCTATACATAGTTATTCAACATTAACTATTGGGAAGTGTTCCTACAGTGCTTCTATACATAGTTATTCAACATTAACTATTGGGAAGTGTTCCTACAGTGCTTCTATACAGTTATTCAACATTAACTATAGTGAAGTGTTGCTACAGTGCTTCTATACATAGTTATCCAAATTTAACTATTGTGAAGTGTTCCTACAGTGCTTCTATACATAGTTATTCAACATTAACTATAGTGAAGTGTTGCTACAGTGCTTCTATGCATAGTTATCCAACTTTAACTATTGTGAAGTGTTGCTACAGTGCTTCTATACATATTATCCAACTTTAATTATTGTGAGTGTTGCTACAGTGCTTTTGTATATAGTTATGCAACTTTTACTGTTGTGAAGTGATGCTGTTGACATCTTATTTTTAACAAACAATTTTTACTGAATGGGACATAAAATATTCATTATTAGTTAGTTCTATATCTGTATGTAGTTATCTAATTTTAACTGCTGTGAAGTATTGCTATGGTACTTTAATATCAACATCTTGTCTTTAACAAGATTTTGTTGGACATTTTATTACAGGCTGACATTTAGTGTTGATCCTGATACACACATAGATGCCTTGCACCAAGCTGAACAGTCCATGATGGAGGGAACTTCTAACTGGTCAGCCAAAATTGCTATTACGGGTAAATGTTTACCACTTGCAACTTTAGCTTACTAAGCCATTGTTAAAAGTAGACAAATCTCACCTGCAACATACATTGGAAGACCAGTTTTTCTGTAAATTTATCTCATAGCATATAAAGTCATAAGATGTGTAGTGCAAGTAGATTTACTTTGTAGCTTAGATGGACATTCAAGTGTATTTATTTTTTAGCATAGGTTGAGAAGGCCTGTAAGGTTGTTTTTCTTACATGTGTCATAGATTGAAAAAAAAATCTGTTTAAGCAGGTCTTTCTTATTTTTGCACTGATTGGTAAAATTGCTATTACAAGTATATTAATCTTATTTGTAAATTTTCTATAACTTGTGAGCTTGCAGCATGAACTAATGTGTTATGTACTATATTATTTATTTGGTAAAATATTAAGTTTAATATATATCCTATTGTAAAAATTACCTAATTAAAGGCTCTTACAGATGTTTTCAAGATAACCGAATTATCAAGTGTTTGTTACACTATGTATGTCTATATAGTTTCTGATTTGTTTTACAAATGTTTTAGTCATAATTCAGACGTATCATTTTACCATTTTATTTTATTTTGTTTCAGTCATCATCTATTAGGCTATATTGTGTAGTATGTAAACACTAAATACTTTACTCTCCTATAGTCTATATTTTATAGCTATGAAATTTTTATGAGTTTTAATTTGGAACATCCTAATTCCAAAATAAACTTATCTCCTCACGCAAAAGCTATCTGGATCATTGTCCACCCTCTAAGCATTGCTTAAAGAATATTTAGTAATCAGCGCACCAGTCTTTATACCCCACCAGTTTCACGCCATTTCTGAACATGTACATATCATGTGGCTACTCTCCACCAATAGTGTTGTGCCATTTATAACGGCACAGTTAGCTGCTCCCTCTGCTATTTCTGCAGAGTTTGTCCGTTTTCTATTTATAAGTACTTTATTAACTTGGTATTTTTCAATAGTTTGTACCTTCCATATCATTAATACGGGTAACAAATAATTATTTGTTTTCTTTGAATAATTTTTTTTGTCATTGTTAACTTAAGTATGTACCTTCTGTTCATAATTTTTGTTAGTGTAGGCCTTAATTCTGTGTCCTTGTCATCTAGGTAACTTTCTCTGTCTGATACCTTAGGTATTTCTTATTATTGTAATTTCTGTTAATTGGCATGTTCATTATTTTTACATTCTTTGTGGACTAGCAAAAAGTTTGATACTTTGACCATTTGATGTTTGTCAGTCCGTTGTTTACTGGGTATGTTTCGATAGTTGGTACATTACATATCATTACTACTAGTAATATCTATTCATTGTTCTATTTGAATTTTTTCATGAGTGTTCAGCTGTGCCATCCCTTTCTAATTTTGATCAGTGTGGGGCTTAAAGTTTTGCCTTGTTACTTCACTGATGTGTTCGTTTCTTTCGCCTTTCCTAGGATTGAGATTATCTTTGGTTCCTTTTCATATGTTCATGATACTTGAAAGTTCTTTAAGTGTTCTGTCGGGGAATACAAACTTTTGCCGACTTTTTCACACTATGAGTCTTGCATTCTTCCTTCTCTGGTTTGACTGGCTCCTGCTTGCTTGCTTCAATTCTCATTCCAGAGTCTACACTCCTCTGCTCCTACAAGATGCAGATCCATTCTGACCCCCTCTTAATACCCCATTCATTTGGGGGGGGGGGTATTCTTTCCAACCTCAGTCAGGCCTTGCCTTCTTCTCTTTGGGCTTGGAGCAAACAGTTCCATGTCCCTAACCTTTCTTATGGCTCAGTATGTTCTATCTCTAATTGTCATTCCCAAGGGTCAGACTCATATATATTCCCTTCAGTGAACACTCCTTGGTAAGTGGAACTTCTCCTCAGATCCCTGGCTTGGCAGTTGAACAGATTCCAGACCATTAGGGGATGCTGCTTACTCTGCCTCGTCTGGATTTATGTCTGTACCCATACTCCTCTTTAGGGAGTTGAGGTTCTTACCTCAATTCCCAGGAGATTACTGATCTCTGGTCAATCAAGGAGTCTTTCTCCATATCACCTTTCTTGAGCCTTGTCCTGCCTCCTTCCTCTCCTATCCTATGGGGGTGGTGGTTATATTACATTTCCACCTCTCCTCTGTAGTTACTTATATCAGTGAGCCATGGATGCCAATTCCTGGTTTCTGTGCTTTGAGATCCTGGGTCTCTTTTCTGAGCCCACTGTCATCACATTGTGATCTTTGCTTGCCCTTTTCCTGGCTCCTTCCATCTGGTGGTGGTTCAATTATCTTTCAATATGATTCTCATCACAAAGTGTTCCCTCGTTCCACAGATGTCATCACTCTCTGTCTTCATGCATGATTTTGTCTTGTTCATTGTCTCAGCCCAGGATCTGGCTACATGTTTTGCATTCTTCCTTCCTGATCAATGTCCATTTTCTACTTATGTTAGTATATCTTCGACTTTGGTCTCTTCACCATGGTTTCTGTCCTTCCCACCCTTCCCTCTTCTTCCTTCCCTATTCTTCACCTGGTAGGTTGTTAAAGGTTTGTACACTTCATTCATTTCCAGCTCTCAGGCAGCCTTGTCTATCTCCTTCCATTTCTTCTGGGTTTTGTCTTTCCTTGTCATTTCCCTTCTTTCTGTTCCTTTGCTTTCCCATCACACATTTCAGCCTTTGTTTTAATGTTCCATACACCTTCCTTCCCTCATGACCTAATTCCTTCTCCTCCTTGCTTGTGGTTGTTGTCATTCACATTTTATACTATTCAAGTTCTCCACATCCTCACCATTCCTCCTATATCATTCTCTATCCTGACCTCTGTCCTTCCTCCCTAGGACATATGCTACTGTTGACGGTGTTCTGACTTTCATTTCCTTACCTTCCATTTCCCAATTGTACTTCTATTCCAGTTTAGATAGGCTTCCTTGTCTGGTTTGTTCCTTCAAGTGTTATGTGGCATGTTCTACTTCCTTTTGGGGTTCACATTCCTGACTTCTTATTCCCTTGAACCCTTCAGTTTTCAGTGTTCTGTGACCTGGTACTCTCACTGGTTGGGTTCGTCAACTGATCCACCTGGCTTATTCAGACTTGTCTATAGAAAGTTGCCATCTCCACAGTGTCTCTTCCCAACAAATTTGTCACATTACTATGTCTTTTACTGCTCGCTTTCACCATCCTTTGAAGGAGATTGTTCAGCTGGAATGTGAACTACTCCCAAGACCTTCGACAATCATTATCTGCTCGATCTGGCTGTGTCTTCTTCTGTTTGCCTTTGCCTGGGGTAAGACTTATTGCTTCCTTTCATCTGTGTTTTCTTTTTTGGCTTCCCTAATCTTAGCATCTTCTTTATGGATCCCACCTTGTGGTGGGTGTTATTTGTCTCAAACCTGCACTAATTGAAGTAACTATATTATGCTCACGATTGAGATGGGGTGTTTCTGTAAGACAACTTGGTGTATATGTATATATTTATGTATTAGTAATCATTAAAACTATATCTTTGGTAGATCGTCACACATAAACTTCATGAGTAAAGCAGAAAAATATTTCTGCCCAACCCTATCAATCTTTTGATTCCTTAATTGGGTTCGGTCTGCTTTTCAAAATAGGGAAATGCAGTCACCCATTGCTCTTTCTCCTGTGTAATGTTCCTTTGGGCTCCTCACCACCTTTTTACCCCCTTTTTTATTCTAATGGAGCTTGGGAGTCCTTATCAGTCTCAGTTTCCAGTTGCTGGGGTGATGGACTATGAAGGCTTCCTCCTGAGTGTAATTCCATGTAAGTATACTTATGCTTGTTTATCCACTCAGAGGGCAAAGCTGGTTCCCTACTAGCACTTCCCCTAGATGTTTTCTGCCTGGGTGGACCACACTCAATAAAACCAATGATCAAATAATAATTGGGGCCACCCTACGTGGGATCCTTCTTGTAATTCTTGGTTCAGGATGACAGTGCCCTGTTCCTATGATTGTGTGCAGTAGATACCTCTCTTCTCATTAATTCTGGTTGAAGAAGGTTCTTTCTTGCTTCAACGATTGGGTTTGAGAGACTTTGTCTGCCTCGTAATACCAGTCCGTGTTCTGTTCTTACAGTTGGATAAATGCTGCTCGTCCTCCTCATAATTCCACATACAGGATGTGTCTGCCCTTCATTTACAGTTGAGTGAGTTATGATTTTGTGCATAATACCAATTACAGCTTTCTCTGTTCTTATGGTTGAGTCAACGAAATGCCAAGACCCTATAATGCTGGGTTTGGTTTCTCATATTTCTTGCTCTCACAGTGGTTTTTGGGAGTTTGTCCAGTTATGGCTGTTCTTTACTTCTTTATAATTCTGGTTCCTTGAAGTACGACACTATGTTTACTTATGATTAGGGTTGTTTGATATCAATAACACAGTTCACATGCCCTACCCACTTGTTGTTATTACTTTTTTTCCTCGTTATATGTTGCTACAGCTTGCATTTTCTTAATGCCTTTACAATTGTACAAGCATTACCTTTTCCACCCACTTGGTGTTCCTTTCCTCATTCCTGGGTGAAGAGCATTATACCTGTTCCAGAAGTAGTGCTGTATTTCCGATAGGCATTTACCTCCTCTCACTCACTTCCCACCCTTCCTCCCCACTAAAACCACAATTTTTATTGTAGTACCTGCCTATTCTTGAAAGCAAAGATTGAACAGGAATAGTATAGAGAGCTAGCTGTGCTGTTATAGGTGGCACAACACTATTGGTGGAGAGTAGTCACATATGTGCATAGTCAGAAATGGTGTGAAACTGGTGGGGTATAAAGACTGGTGCAATGATTATCTAAATATTCTTTTAGCAATGCTTAGAGGGCAGACAACAATCAACTCATGGAACAGAAATACTTTTGCATTCAAGTGCCCATTTACTGACTGGTTAGTTATAAAAAAGTAGTTTGCTTTGGATCTGATAGATTCAAAACATCCTTTATTTCACTTGTTTCACTGCAATTTCTACCTGCTGACCTTGTGCACTTCATTTTTACTTCTTTTCATTTCGAATTTAAGCTTGTTTTAGTTTATTTTTATTCAAATACAATTTATTTTATTTTCTTTTAATTCAACTTCAAGTATACAATGTAACAGTTGCTATTACTATAGGATCAACCATATTCTTCTTTCAGCCTCAGTAAAGTATTGTATTTTATGTCTGCAAAATGCTATGTCTCTTTCATTTCATTTGTAACAAATCACTGCACATATTCTTCCATGTATTAGATATACAAACTTCTAATTCTTTCAGAGATTGAATGCTGGGTCAACCTTGAGATTTCCTCATTGTTCTACAGTCATCATCATTCGAACCAAATTAATTTATCACAGTTACCTTAAAACCAAGCAGAATATAAAAATCATTTTACATTGACATTACATGCCATCTATAGGCACAAACATATGCACACATACAAGTGAAAATGCCTGAATAAAAATGTAACCAGAAGCAAAGCTCTTTCTGATTAGTTTGAGTTATGGGTTTTCCATTTCTGCATTATAGTTTGAGATCTATGCAGCATTGTGTTACATAATATTCTGAAAAAAAGTCTTATAATTCTATTGCATAAACAAATATTTTACTTTTGTATATTAAAGCCATTAAAGGGTGTATTGTTTGATAATCTTTCACCAGCAAAATGAGATTCACAAATTACACAGTGTACATTACTTTCATTTAAATGATTTGTTTTTATCTGTTCCAGATAAATCACTGCCCTGCCAAAAGTATTTAGACACTACTTGAGCATGTAACTTAGCTTACTCAGCACACTCTACAAGATAATTTGAAAAGTATAAATACAACATCAAATATGCTGGATAGGTAGATCAGTAATGTTAACATATAGGAAAGTGCCAAAACATGTAAATTATGATGGATTTAAGTTGCCTGGTTTTAGATTCTATAATTATGACATCCTTGCACAATGCTAGAGACTACTCAGTGGTATAAGGAATTTGATAGAAAAACTGGATTCATGAAGCATCAAAAACGTTTCATTCTTAGGAATGTTCCAGAATTTATTTTTGCAACAAATTCACTATGACTTTATTACTACATGAAAAGTGACCTATATGTGCATGAGTGCCATTGGTGAAGTCTAATGTCAGGTAATTTTTCCATGGGTATATGTACTCTGAATATTTAGATTACACAAATTTTATGTTACTTCAAGAATATTCAACATAATTTGCTTAGTTTAAAGCCCATCATTACCTGAAGAAAACTTATCAAAACATTTCCCAGAGGCCTTATGACAGTTTTCAGGAACTCTTGTTCTGGTAGAATAATGCTCCTTTTAACAAATCACATAAACCTATGCCTAGCTTCAAAGTAACAGCATAAATATCATGTCAGGACACAGATCTAGCCTACAGAAACATTCTTGTGGCCAAACTGAGGGACTTATTTAAAATCTTAAAACACAGGTTTTTATTAACTATTAATTAAATTGAAAATTATCATGAGGGGAAATGTTGAAAGAAATTAAAACTGTAAAAGTGGTGAGGGTGCATGAGAAGGCATATATTTATGTGGGGAGGGGGTCTGCAGTAAATCTCCCAAAAACTGTTATATTTGTTGTTAATTTTCTAAGCACTTTATTTTTACTCTTAAAATCACAATAATACTTAGGATATATAAATTCTGATCACACTGAGATCTCTATCAATATGAAACATCCATTGTATCATAAATTTCTCACCAGCCTTGTACAATACTTTCTTGAAATTAATTATAATACTGTTATGACAGCGGAAGTCGTGTGATGTTGGGAGCATGCATGCTGGAGTTTCTGGAAGGATCATGAATTATCGGGGAGGCCCAAGTTTGTTTGAGGCACCCTCTTTTTTTAGTATATAAGCCTGGCGAGAAAAACCAGTGCAATGGCACAAATAGATCAAAGATATAGGTATAGAGATAGATAACTGAGTCAAGCGAGCGGTAGTGACGGTAATATAAAGTGTGTGTTTTGTTATCGAGATTGCAAACGTATTGACTGTGGAAATTCTGTGTATTACAAAGTTGTATCGAGAAAGAATAAACTAGTTTTAATTAAGAAAGGACTTGTATTGCTGAAGTTCCTCAGAAAGAATTTATACCGGGAATTAACAAACAAGCAGATACGTAACAATACCATGCCAATGTCCACACAATTACCTTAGAAGCAAGAAGTTGAATAATTTCTGTGTACATAACAACAATGTAAATGTTGTGCTAGAAACTAGATCTATTTTATAAAGGTAAATTTATTAATTTGCAATAGGCTTAAGTATAATTCAATAGCTGCTAGGCTCATAATTTTTTTAATATTAAACCTATGGAATCTAAGCAGTACATGCCTATAGGCAAAGTATGTTTAAACCTTTATGCATATCTGCTTACAGTAAATGCATCATATGACTCGCATCTACTGGATACATATTTTGTGAAAACACAGAAGGTTCTATTAATGACACTACTATGTTTATAACTGGATCCAAGAGTTCTCCTGTTGGAATTGAGTTCTGGATCACTTTGAACTCTAATTAGTCATCACTACTTGGTTGATTTTTTGGAAGACCATATTCTGTTGGAAAGTAGATTGAATCATGCTTCATAGAATGAACAGGCTAAGAATGATGCTACGGTATATTAGTACAGTGATCATTAAGTAGCACTAGTCTATGATACAGTCAAGATAAGTTTGGCAAGGAAGTTTACTTTGAACATGTACAAATATTATATTATTGCTTTCTGTATCAGTAAATACCAATGTTAAAAATGCACTTATGTTGACTATTCACAGTATTCCCCCATTTTGAAAACTGTGACTAGTGGTTCCATTTTTCAAGATGAAGTTAAAGTTCTGTTTATATATGAATTGATAATAAACTTCACTTTAAATAACTCAGAATTCATAAGAAAATAGCTTATTGTATTTGAAATTTAAATCATATTCAAAAGAAAATACTAAATGAGAGCCAAAATAATTCACGTATAAGAGAATAATATCAAATTAA